TCCTTTCCCTCTTTTCTCTTCTCTTCCCTCTCCTCTTTCCTTGTATTGGTACACTGCCATAATGCTACAACTAGTATAATAAGATGATCAAGGTGAAGAGTTGCTTGTGGTGTGATGCTCCTAAAGCACTGTTGGAGGGCAACAGAATAAGATCACACCCACTTCAGAAATGGAAAAAGAAAACGCTCCTAAACATCCCAGGACCCAGTTGTATTCTTTTTTATTTTTGCTTATTTCCATGCCTTTCGATATTTTACACACATTGCAAGTTCTGCAATAAATTTTACATTCTACACAGCTTCCGTTTAACTTTTTGCAGAGCATTGTCACAGTGTTATTGTGTCCAATACTTCACATCTACCTATAGCCCTGCCCTTTGCATGCCCCAGCAGTATAGTAAGTAGTGGCTGCACCAGATATTACAAACTGGTGCAGCCACTCTGGAAATCAGTGTGGAGAACTCTCAAAGAGCTAAAAATAAATCTGCCAGCTAAAAACTCCTGGGGGATATGCTCAAAGGCCTCGATGTCATACCCTACAGAAACTCACTCAGCCATGTTCATTGCCACCGTGTTGACAAGAGCTAGGAAATGGAATCAACCTAAGTGACCTGCAAAACTGTGTGGGTCACAAAAAAGAACAATGAAACCTTTATACATATGATAAATGGATAGAATTAGACCGTATACTGAGAGGAGTAATCCAAACCTGGAAAGGCAAGCACCACATGTCCTCTCTTCTCTGTGGTCTTAGCTATGGATCTTTAGACGTGAGTAACCACAGAAGTCAGGGGAGGGAATGAGGGACAGATAAAGAGAGCTCTAGATTGGGGAATGGCAGGTGATGGTGCTGTGAAGCAGAAAACAGGAAAATTGGGATGGGGCTTTAACTAGGGAAGGCGAAAGAAGTGCAACACAGAGAGGGCAATAACACTGAAATGTTTCATAAAACACACAGACCATATGATCTTATTCTCACCTAAAATTACATGTAATATATACATGTATGTATACATAGATGTATAATTTAAACAAGTTATGCCACTTGGGGTGATAATGCTCCTTGTAAGAGCCATGATATGCATATACACGTGTGTGCATACACACAAGCACACACCCAGAATCATGTATGAGAAATATGAGTTTTCTTGAGTTGTTATTCAGGGAATCCCAAGAAACCCCCTCAAAAGAGTATAGGCTATTGCTTGTTGCCCTTGGTTGCCCTCTAGAATTTGAAGGTAAACCCCTATTGCTGAAGGTGTCATGCACTCAAGATATAGAACTTGGAGGAACTGTGCTGGAACTGGCCTCAAATTCTTCTCCCTGATGACTGGCTCTTTTAGTATCAGAAGATGCTATGAAAGCTGCCAAGGGAGAGATGCATTTGGTAGTCCTACCCTGCTGTAAATGGTAGGACTTTACACACAACAATGGCTGGCCTGGCAAGATACCCACAATGGTACAATAGTGACTCCTTTATTTAGGGGTTACTAACAACTGTCTAATTGGATGTAAGGCCTGCTCAACAGGAGGGCATTCATGTCTAGTTCTGTAAACCTAGTCAACTACCTATAGCTAGAGAGCTTGTAAACCGGGGAGGAGAACTTACTACTGCTACTTTCAGAAACCAATAATTATAATTAAATATAATTATAATATAAATTATAATTTGTTTTCTCAATAGCTATCCTTATACAGATAGTCATAGTTCTTACCCCTCATCAAAAAGGCTTCTAGGGCCGGGCAGTGGTGGTGCACGCCTTTAATCCCAGCACTTGGGAGGCAGAGACAGGCAGATTTCTGAGTTCGAAGTCAGTCTGGTCTACAGAGTGAGTTCCAGGACAACCAGGGCTACACAGAGAAACCCTGTCTTGAAAAAAAAATCTCGCTATTGGATGTATGTGCTGTTAATATTAAGACAGGCACATAGGCATGCAACCTTTTCTTTTTCTGGTGTAGTCACAAACACCCGGAGATAAGGTTGTTGGATTAAAAAAGTGAGATGGAGAAATAAGCACCTTATTTATATCGATGGGAAGGACAGAATAGTCAGTCGTCACATTTGTTAATTTATAGCTTTGAGTGGTGGCAAAAAAGATTTGCTTTTGACCCTAGTGCTGAGGGTCAAAGCCAAACCCTTGTAGTACTAGACAAGCCTCTAACACTGAGCCACACCCCTAGCACTTCATTTTAAAAAAGATTTTTAATTATGAGTATGTGTGTATGTATTTACATATGCGTGTATTTACAATTGGTTGTGAGCCACTGGACATAAGTGCTGGGAATTAAACTTAGGGCCTCTGGAAGAGCAATGGTCTCCTTTTTTTTTTTTTTTGAGACAGGGTTTCTCTGTGTTCTGGCCGTCCTAGAACTCACTCTGTAGACCAGGCTGGTCTCGAACTCAGAAATCCGCCTGCCTCTGCCTCCCAAGTGCTGGGATTAAAGGCGTGCACCATCACCACCCGGCAAATGTGTAGCCCAGGCTGGCCTCGAACTCGTGATCCTCCTGCCTCTGCCTCCTTCAGCAAATCCTACCGGTGTGTGCCAGCACTACCAGCAGCAATGGTCTCCCTTAACTGCTGAGTGGTTTAATCTTTCCATGCTGCATTCATTACACACACACACACACACACACCTGCCCGCCCCCGAAACCCCCCTAATGCTCCCTTTTTGAGACAAGATCTTGTTATGTAACTGCCAGGGACGAGGATTGTATGCCTGTACCATCCCTGTACCATCAGCCTGACAAAGGTTGTGTGTGTTTTAAATTTAAATAAGGAGGGAGGGGAGCTGATACCAGTCTCTGATTATAAAATTGTGTACTCAGAAACATTTGACTCATCGCTCTAATCCAGAACCTCAAAGAAGTGACTTGGACAATTGTGGATAGAAGCATGACTCATTTAATCTTGCATAAGTATAGTTTCAGAGAAAAGATGACACTGTTCACATATGGAACTTTAAAAAACTATTTAAAAAGAAATATTTAGCAAAAAAAGGTAATCATGTTTTAGTCAAGCATGGTGCTATACACCTTCAATTTCAGCCCCTTGTATACTATAGACTCAGTCATTGAGCTATAGCCCCAAACTGCCTGATCTTGTACTTGTGGTCCTTTTGTTTGGGGAGCTCCATCAATTGGCTTGCATACCCAGGCCTAAGAAACGTAAACATGTTTTCTATGAAAAGTAGGAATAGAAGAACCCCACCCCTGACAAAACACAACTCACATTTTGGAGTCTCAAGTTAACAACCGAAACATCTCAACACACAGAACTTCAGAAAGCAGTGAAGGATGTTAACTAGATAACGTAACGAGAAAACTGACTTTAAAAGAAAAAGACCAAGTCTTACTTTTTAACCAGCATCAGAAACCCCCAAAGGGGGTACACCGTTCCTGGAGGTACTGCAATACCAGGTCGATGCATGGAGTGGACGGAGCAAGCTCCTATTCCAACTCCTACTTCCAAAAATCCATTTAATATATTGTCCTCGAATAGAGGACGTATCAGATATTAAACTGATAAGAACAGATACTACACTTGATCTTAGCCAAAAGGCCGAGAAGCGATAACTAGAGCAACCCACACGCTCGTACCACTAACTCACACACACACATTTACTTCACGGTTACAAACCCTCATGTGTCGATCAACACGCACTCGACACCAACTCTCAGTTTCTATCATAACTACAATGTTTATGCCATGAAAATCTGTGAAATTAAGGAAGAAAAGAGAAGTTTTCGTTGCTCTTTTCTTTCCCAGAATTCCAGGAGACAGGACCATGTCGTCATTTGCATGCCCCGCCCAGCGCGCCGTCATCCTTCCATCTCTGTGCTGCTGGACAGACGACTGAGGACGCCGGTGCTTCCAGATTCTTCTTCGCAATATTTTAGACCTAGAGTTGGCAACACCCACCACAAGAGATTCCCTACCACCGACTCCTTCTGTTCTATCTAGCTCATTTTGCATCGCGTCTCGCCTTGAAATGAGATTCATGGCTAAAGGGAGGGGGCCGGTGCCCTTCCTGAAAGTGACCCCTGGGTATACAAAGTCTGATCCGCTCAAGGGGTGGGCAGAGCCTTGGGAGATGGGCTTTCTGAATTGCAGCTCCTTTTCTATTGCTCTGGGGTTTTGCCCTCTACCCCTTCCCGCTTCATTCATT